TACTTCTGAGACTAGGTGGATCCCATACACAGGATTCAGCCTACACACCATTCACCCTAGTGGATTGCAGGGCGCTAGCCTCGCCTTGGCAGATGCTGCTGTTCAATTTGCAGGCACAGAGTCAATTGAGTGGTGGAAGATTTAACATGTGAACAAGGAACAAGTGAAGGCCATTCAATAAGATCATAGTTGACCTGATTTTAACCTCAATGTACATTCCTTCATATCCCTGATAATCTTTCACCCCTTTGGTAATCAAGAATCTAATTATATCTGCCTTAAAAATACTTAAAAGTTCTGCATCCATTGCCTTTTGAGGAAGGGAATTCCAAGGCGATTTAACCTTCGGGGGAAAAAGAAGGTTTCCTCGTCCCTGTTTTAAATGGGTAACCCTTTTATTTTTAAATGTTTTTGTATTTTTGGTTAACTTTCACTTGTACTATAATTTTTCCTTTCTTATTAATCTTTCCTTTTTTTATATTTTGTCCAATCTTCTGTCCTTCCACCTATCTGTGCATAATGATATATCTTTTGTTTGAGATTGAAACATCTTTGATTATTTTTAGTTAACCGCAGATGGTGGGTGATAGTGTCTGTTTTTCTTACTTGTTGGAATTTATCTTTTCTGCGCTTTGTGGATAGTTCCCTTAGATGGTTCCAATGCATCTTTATTGACCTATCCATTAACCTAAATTGCCAATTTACTTCTGCAAGTTCTGCTTTCATGTCCTCCTAATATCCTTGTTTAAATTCAAAATATAGTCTTGAGTCCCCACTTTTTCCTCTTAAAACTGTATATAAAATTCAGTAATAGTATGGTTGCTGCTGCCAAGGGGTTTTTTCACTATGAGGTCAATAATTAATCCTATCTTGTTGGTCTAGTAAACCCTGCTTTCTGATTGGTGCCATAATGTGCTGGTCTAATACCTGACGTATTCAACAAATTTCTCATCTAAGCCTTTTTTTCCCCATCTGGTATTTCCAGTGTATATTTAGGTTAAAATTCCTGCAATAATTCTGTTCTAATGTGGTTACTTTTAAGTGGCCTGTATGCAACTCCCAAAAGTGACCTCTAGCCTTTTTCATTCCCCTTCTCCGCCCAAACTGCTGCTATGTCCTGGTTTCCTTGAATTTCGGTCATTTAAAAATGTTCTTACCTTTATCTTTCTGATTTTTAGGTATCTTCAGCACCCTGCATGCAATATATCTCCTTTGTAATCTGTTTAGAATAAATCAGAACTGAGAAAACCTGGTCCTGTTTGGCTTGTACTTGAACTTGAAAAAACCATGTTCTAACATTGATAATGCAGAAATTAAAACTTCGTCATTCCTCTTCAGCCCCACCTGGACTTTCATCCTTACTGAATCCATAAACTTTATCTTTGTTCCTTTGGGCTTGATGGCTTCAGTTTCCTGCATGGTGGACCATTATCCCCTATAAACCTGAGTGCTTCTCTCCTGTTTTCAAGCCCTGTTTCACCATTACTACCATCTTACTGACCTTCTTATTGAGTGCCTGTCAAAAATATAAGAAATTTGAATTCCGCATGCTGTCATCTGCTTGCACCATAATCTTGCACTTCCTTACTTCTGCAATCTTATTTTCTCACCTACATTCCCGAAATATTTACTTTGTCCTCCCACCCTCTCTTTCCCCGACCACCACCACCAACCCCCCCGCCCCAGCTCCCATCTTGTGGCAAACTCTTCAGTTCCTTCAGATCTGCTATCTGGAAATCTCTATACAACCGTCTGCTTTTCTTTCTGTTTCTATCTTTAAAAACCTCTGAAGAAAGTTCTGACTACAATTTGGTCAGCTCTCGTTTCTCTTATTGACTGATTCTACCACTTTATTTATACTTCCACTTTTCAACATTGAACTTGCAGTATATTGCTAATGTTTCGGACATTGCCTATCTTGAGTCTCTTGCCTGCAATAATATGCCCTTGTAATATCTACAAATTTATTTGTTAAATTTGTGCCTGTATGTGAGCCTCAAAAGTTAAGGGTGACATAGCTGATTTTGTTATGATTTCGACAAGGCCCAAAATAATTTCTGAAGAATACTGAAATGGTAATGTGCTTTTTGTATTGCAGCAAACAATAGAAACATACATTAAAGTCCTGTTTAACAGCAGTTTATCATACGCATCAGCAGTACTTGTATTTAACATCACTCCATGTGATGGGCTGATCTGAATCTAAAGCTGTAATTATTTACAATTCTTGCACCTGTCTGTTTTGCACATTTTGGTTTGTTCATCAAACAATCCAATATTTTCATTTCAATAATGACAATTTGACAAATAATGTGTGCGTATCTGTTGAAGGAGGTGATGTTGATACTTGAATGTAAACAGGAGGAATTGGGACCTCTTGTAATTTGTGCTTCAATATTGAGTTTCATACCAAACATCATGCTCTATCTTTGTGTCCTTAAAAAGGTTTATTTTGAGGCTTTATTTTCATTTTTTTCCTTTTGATTAGTTATTTGCACATCGGAGAATTTTGAGCATGATTGATTCTTGGCAGTGTATAAAAACTAGTTGGTTTTGAATACTCTGCTCTACCACAACTACATTGGTTGCCACAAAGTTGGCACAGCAGCAGATGTTGATTGCCTTGTGAGTTTTCATTATGTGATTTCCACTTTGTTATTTTAAGGTGCTTTTCAAATGTAAAACAGCTGGCATTGTTCTGTCATGATTGATTATGACATTGTATTTTTATTTACTAGGAAACAATATCTCATAAGTTTTGCCCCTAACGAGGAAAGAAATCCTGCTTTTCAGTGCCCAGAACAAATGCTTACTATCAATTTGAATTGTCATTTAACTTGACTGTCATTCAACTTTGATAGATGCAGAATATTTAACTGAAGAGTAAGGCCATATGCTACTTCACGTTTTTTTTTATCTTGAATCATCTTGTATTCAGTCATTTTTACTCTTGTGATGTGGTGCCTAATATGAGAATACTGACTTGAAATGCTGACTAGATCATAATCTTTCAAGGGAGTGTTTAATCCACGGATAAAATGTTACTTGTGCAAAGTTAAAAGCATTAAATGTACTTGTGTAAATTTAATGCACTTAACATAATTTACTTTGTGTCCTTCTTTGAATTAATAAAACCAAACTTGCTTATTAGCTAAGGGACCTGGTACTCTGATTCAACTATTTGTGCTGCAGCACCCACCTCCAGCCTTATTCAACTGGAGTGACTGGTGTAGGATGCTAATACAAAAATATAGATTTAGTTTCACCAAATTAACCAATATGCAGTATGGACTGCAATAGTTTCAGGCCTTCATGGGTGTGGAACTTGGCTTTCAGTTTCTGCTTGGTGATTCTGTGTTGTTGTGTATCTCGAAGGCCACCTTGGAGGACGCTTACCTGAAGATCAGAGGCTGAAGGTCCTTGACTGTTGAACTGTTCCCTAACTGGGAGGGATTGTTCCTGTTTGGCAATTGTTGTGCCGTGTCCATTCCTCCGTTGTCATTACGTCTGCATAGTCTTGCCAATATACCATGCCTCGAGGCATCCATGTCTGCAGTATAGGAGGTAGACAACATTGGCTGAGTCACATGAGAATCTGTTGTGTACGTGGTGGGTGGAGTTCCCATGTGTTATGGTAGTATCCATGTCGAATCTGTGGTTTGATGGTAGTATCCATGGCCTTGAGATACACAACACAGAGTCGCCAAGCAGAAACTGACAGTCAAGTTACATATTCATGAAGGCGGCCTCATCCGTGATCTTGGGTTCATGTGTGCTACGTGCAAACCCACCATGCTGTTCTGTGTAAAATCTTCCTTACTGTTATGTTTTGACACCATCACCTTGATAACTTGCTATGATCTCTCTACCTTAATTAGTTTTTACAGTTTTGGGTTATTTTTTACTGTGGTTAGATCCTCCGCATGCAACTGTTATACATATCATTTTACTCCAGCCATTTGGTTTGTCTCCAGCACTACCTTATTCTTAATCTTTTGTAATTATCCCTGTGCCTGAATCAGACTATAGGCCACAGAAGTTGGTATCTTGTCACCAAGTCACCCTTTATTAATATGGGGAGAGTCCTTGATACTGATCCAGCACCCTCAGAGTCAGCTGTGTGTGTGACCAGGATGTTTGATATTCCTTTTCTTGTTTGTCAGTCAGGGCTCCCCGTTCGGACCAGATTAACAGCCCCAATCAAGGATCTCTGACCTCGTTACACTCACTATAGCCTTTCCCCTCTGAGTCTGAGGCTGGTTCTTTTTTTAAAAATATCTCCTCCTTGGGGCATTTCAGCGCCGAGTCAGGTTCCTCCAACTCTACTTCTGATACGGGGACGTGTAAAGCACAGCAGCTTGCCTCATGCACCTGGAGCATTTTGGAAAAAGTTCATTATTGTCTTCAGGTGGCAAAGGTGTTGAGGTGGTGACATCTGTTGTGTCCATCTCAGATTCTGAGATGTCTTCAAAGCTTAACAGAGAGGGAGAGCCCACGAGTTCCGAAACGGTTGAATAGGGTGTCGAGGAGCCGGGCATGTTTTTCTCTCAGACCATGTGTGAATTTACAGTTTTCATATGGTCCATATGTTTGTTCAGGACCATTGCACCTACCTAAACTTTATACGTCACTGGACCTGGCTTCACATCACCCATGCCTCTTACCCATGCAGGGCCATTCCCGTGGTTCCTATACCAAACTTCATCACCTGACGTAAACTGTCTCACTTGCTTAGTGGAGTCTTGTGTCTGGTTTTGGTGATCCTGATGCTGTTTTACCCTCCGTCCATCATCCCTGTTCTCTTCCCACATTGAGCCCATGAAAGGACCTACATAGTTGGCATGTTACTGAGTCCAGGGTTTACCTGGCTATTCCCATGAATGTGGGGGAGATTTTGTTGGTAATTTTTGTCCTTGTTGACACTCTGGGCCCTGCCCCACCAATGCAACTCTGTCTACATCCACTTCTAGCAACCAGACATAATTTATCACCAGCACCTTCACTTCAGAAACTCCAGGATGACCCTGGAGGAGTTAAGCCAGTATCTGGTGGCAACCTTTGCTCAGGACAATCACTCTTTGCTCCCTATAATAATACGCTATCCTGTACAGTGATCTAGTCTTTTCGGCTCCAGAAAGTTTTCAATTCTGATTGTGACGCCCTTTGGATTCCCCCGTCACCACCAGTTTTTCAATTTTGCCAGCACCAGATCTTTCTGCATCCAAAGTCTGATATTGTCAGCTGTGACTGGAAGCATGCCGAGAAAATTTAAAACCATTATGGACTCTTCCAGTGGTAGTACCACCGGCGGTGCATCTGCTAGAGTGAGGCGACTCAATGCATCCGCATTTGCTATTTGGCATCCCAGACAGTGTTTCAACTAGTAATTATACAGAATTAGTATTAGAGCCCACTGCTGAATTCAGTCTGAATCTGTGGGCAACACAGTGTTGTCCTCGCTAAGTAGACCTACCAGGTATTTGTCGTCCATTATTATTACAAACTTATATCTGTAAAGGTATTGGTGGAATTTCCTGATTACAAATATGACCGCCAAATTTTCCTTCTCTATCTGGGCATAGTTATGCTCTGCATTAGCCAAAGGCCTGGATGCATACGCTATCGGGCATTCCTCTTTTGGCCACTGATGAGCTAATACCACCTGATGCCATACAAGGAGGCATCCTATGCCAATACCAGATCTCGCTTGTGATCATAGTGTGCCAATACCTTAGAGGATGATAGCTGGTTCTTCACTTTTCTGCAAGTTACGGCTAGGCTTCGTGACCATTTCCAAAGCTGACCCTTTGAAAGTTGATGCAAAGATCCCAGGATGGAGGCCAGGTTATGTATGAACTTTCCATAATAATTCACGAGCCCAGGGAAAGACCTAATCTCTGGTACAAATGTTGGAGCCAGGACACCTTTGATCACCCTCACTTTATCTTCCAATGAGTGTAACCGGTCATATTAATCATGTAACTCAAGAGGGTCATTTTTGGTGCCTGAAACACACATTTTTCCCTTCTAAGGCCCGCCTGAGAGAAATGCCTAAGGACTGTGTCCAAGTTCTCTAAGTGCACTTATTGGTCTCCCTATTGTTAGCACATCATCTAGATAAGTAGTAACCTGGGGTAGACCTTGTGAAATGTTCTCCATCATCTGCTGAAAAATTGCGCAGGCTGACGATACCCCAAATAGCAGTCTTGTATATTGGTATGAACCCTTATGAACATTAATCATAGCATACTTCTGGGAATCCTCATCTAATTGCAATTGCAAGTATGCATGCCTCATGTCTAGCCACTGCCAGCTTGGCGTATAAATCCTCTATGCGAGGGATTCGGTATTTATCCAGCCACGAAAAGCAGTTTACCATTTGTTTAAAATCCCCACAAAAGCGGACAGATCCATCAGGCTTCAAATTGCTATGACTGGTGCTACCCATTATGCAAACTGTACTGGTTTGATGATCTCTGCGCGTTCTAGCCTTCTGATTTCTGCCTGTACTTTTGCCCATAAGGCAAATGGCACTGGGTGGGCCTTGCAGAATCATTGACTTGCTTCCTGGTCAACCTGCAAGGTGGCCTTGGTTCCTTTTGTAGTTCTTACCTCGGTCTTACTGAAAATCTTCAATGAATTTAGTTAGGACTTCACTGAGGCAGCCATTTTCTTATCGAAAAACATTGAGCCAGTCTAGGTGAATGTTTCTTGACCAATTTTACCTCATCAAGCTTGAGCCTGAACCTTTTATTCCAGTCAGTAGTAACTAAACAAGCTGCTTCTCATAAAAGAACAGGACAGATGTTGTACTCTTAATCTATAAAGATTCCTTGGTATAGGTTCTCAATCTAGCCGAGGTCTTGCATAAACTTTAATGGTTGGGAGTCCAGAGTGAATTGTGTCAAAGGCTCGTTCTCCAATCGATCTCTATTAGAAGCAGATGACCATTTAACCAGATGTTTATTTTGATTGCTTAGCAATGTCCAAATCAGAACCAATGTACTTTCCAGGGAATGCACTTGCCTGCATACTGGCCTCAGAGTTCTCTTACTCAGTGTAGGTCTAGTGGGATTCTTTTGTTGTCTCAAGTCCACATATTGGCAGCAACTACAATAGCTTGCCAGCCCGGATTCTGAAGAAAATATTAACTGTTTGGCCAAGGCTTGGCTTTGTTGTTGGGTTTTGCTGTGAGCTGACCGAGAGACCCTCTGTTCAGGATATGTCCTGAGTGAGGCTATGTAATTGCCTTCACTCAAGTAGTGTTCCCAATATTAGTCAGACTCTTGAGGGTGTCCACATCCATTGGAAAACCCTGCAACCCATATGCTCCACTTGCCGCATTTTCCAATGATAAAGCTAGTTGTAGTGCCTGTTTGAAGTCCATTTGAACGTCATAAGCATGTTTGCATGGTTACATCATTAATCCCACATACCAAACAGTGTCTCAGCGTCTTGTTAAAAGTTATACCAAAGTCACATGCCTCTGCCAATCGTCTTAACCTCATCAAAAATCCTGATACAGATTCCCCTGGTTCTCGAATTGCTGAGTAAAACCAATAGCATCTCAGAATTAGGGAGGCCTGGGCTTGTAATATTTCTCATCAACTCTTGGAAGGTTTTTGGTGTCTGGTGCCTCAGGGAAAGTTGGCTCCTAATAACCAAAGAAGCTGTGGATTCGCATGCTGTCAGGAGAATTACTCATTGCTTTTCATTTACCCCAATGTCATTTGGCTGGAAAGAATAATACGTTCTTTTCACATACTGGGCCTAGTCTTCGACAGCAGGATCAAACGAGTCAAGCTTTCCACATAATGGCATGATGCCAGAAATGCTCACCCCAAATCAAAAATAACTGTTGCAAGTGAATTTCTTTAGGAACGTGCTTTTCTCTTATTGCCACTGAAATAACTCCACAGAGGCTGGTATGCCATCACCAAGTCTCCCTGTGTTTACACGTGGAAAGTCCTTGACACTGGTACAGCTCACTCAGAACCTCCAGCATGAACAGGCTGTCTGATGCTCCTGTTCTTATCCATTGGCCAGAATTCCTTGATTGGATCAGATTAATAGACAATCAGGGAACTCCTATTCTATGAGGTCCACCTGACTAACCTCATTACAATCACTCCACTGTTCAAGCCCCTTTATAATCTTATACACCTCAATTGGGTCTCCTCCAAAGGAAACAGCCTGAGCTTATCAGCTTCTCTTCATAGCTAAACTGATCCATTCTACGCAACATCCTGGTGAATTCCCTCTGAAATCCCTCCACTGAAATCACATCCTATAGTACGGTGACCAGAACTGCGCACAGTACTCTAGTTGTGGCCTAACCAATGTGTTGTACAGCTCCAAAATAACCCTCTTGCTCTTATAATCAATGCCTCGATTGAAAAAAGGCAGTGTCCTGTATGCCGCCTTAATCATGGTATTTACCTGTCCTGTCATTTTCAGGGACTTGTGGACAAACACCCCAAGATCCCCCTGTTCCGCTGAGTTTCCTAATGTCGTGTCATTCATTGCGTACTCCCTTGACATGTTAATTTCTTCCAAGTGCATCACCTCACACTTATCAGGGTTAAATTCCATTGCAACTGGTGGGCCATCTGTCCTATCTATCTATATCCTCCTGTAGCCTGAGACCTCCCTCCTTCAGTGTCAGCCACTTGTTCAATTTTAATGTCGTCTGCAAACTCACTTATCCTCTTTTCTCTTCCTCCTCTCCCCCTGACATTTTCTTCCATATTGTTTATATACATCCTCAATAACGGATCCAGAATGATTTATGTGGTATGCCACTGGACATGGTTCTCAAGTCACACAAACAGCCTTCTATCACCCTCTGCCTCCTACCACTAAGCCAATTTTGGATCCAAATTGCCAGGTTACCCTGGATCCCATGTGCTTTTACCTTCTTTATCAGTCTCCCATTGTCTTGTCAAAGAAAGAGTTTAGCATGTTTGCCTTCATTGCTCAAACCTTTGAGTATAAGTGTTGAGACATTGTGTTGAGGTTGTACAGGACATTGGTGAGGCCCCTTCTGGAGTACTGTGTCCAGTTTTGGTCTGCTGTTATAGGAAGGATTTTATTAAGCTGGAGACTGTTCAGAAGAGATTTACCAGGATGTTCTGGGAATGGAGGGTTTGAATTATAAGAAGAAGCTGGATAGGTTGGGACATTTTTCACTGGAGCGTAGGAGGTTGAGAGGTGATCTTATAGAGCTTTATACAATCACGAGGTATATAGATAAAGTGAATGGCAGTTGGCTTTTCCCTAAAGTGGGGTATTTCAAGACTAGGGGGCATATTTTTAAGGTGAGAGGAGAAAGATTTAATAAAGACGTGAAGGGCAATTTTTTTTAGAGGGTGGTTCATGTGTGGGATGAACTTCCAGAGGAAGTGGAGAATATGGGTTACAGTTACAATATCTAAATGACATTTGAATAAGTGTACATGAATAAGAAATGTTTGGAGGAATGTGAGCCAAGTGTAGGCAGGTGGGACTAGTTTAGTTTGGGATTATGGTCAGCATGGATTAGTTGGACCAAAGGGTCTGTTTCTATTCTATATGACTCTAAAGGCTTTGCTGTAATTCACCTAAGCTACAGCAATTGTACTACCCTCATGTACACACCTGGTCATCACCTTGAAAAGTTCAATCAAATTTGTCAGGCATGATCTCCATCTGACAAAGGCCATGCTGACAATCCCTGATCAAACCTTTCTTCTTCAAGTAGATATTACTTCTGCCGTTTAGAATTTTCTTCAATAGTTTCTTTACCATTCGTGTGAGATTCACTGGTCTGTAATTCTGTGGTGTATCTCTACTCTGCCTCCTTGAAAAGTGTAATCACATTGAGTATCCTCCAGTCCTGTAGCACCTCCCCTGTGGCTAGAGAAGCATTAAAAATTTGGATCAAAACCCAAAAATTTCCTCCCTTTCTTCCATAAAAGCTTGAGATGCAACTCATTTATGCTTGCAGGTTTGTTCACTTTTAAGCCTGCGAAA